AGAAAGAAAGAAAGAAAGAAAGAAAGAAAGAAAGAAAGAAAGAAAGAAAGAAAGAAAGAAAGAAAGAAAGAAAGAAAGAAAGAAAGAAAGAGAAGAAATTGAATACCCCTACAGGAGAGAGAAAATCTAAACAAATTCAGACATTCATAGGGTTTCCTTGAATGGAGACACGATTATTGACAAGCGTTCAAGACTGAACCTTGTAACAGGCTATACAATACAGTGATATTTATATAGCATCTTAAAGTTTGCAAAGTTCTTTATACACTTAAGCCTATTTGGACCTCACAACAACCCTGGGAGATAGGTGCTGTTATTATCCCCATTTTACCAGAAACCAAGACAAAGAGAGGTTAGTGATGTGCACAGGGTCACACAGCGAGTAAATGTCTGAGGCAGGATCCGAACGCAGGTCTTCTGACTCTAAGCCCTCTACCCCATCATCTCTACATTAATGACATAGTCTTGCTTTTGTTTTCTTTCCTTGAATTTCCTCAGTATTCCTTGCATCAAATCAACTCATGATTCCAGTTTTCTCTTTGACCTTCATCACGAAGTCATTCGACAGATGAGGGGAAAGAACGGAGTTAAGGAATCTCACTTCTGATGCTTACCACCTGTGTGACTATGGACCAGTCAGTCGATTAACCTTCCTTGGCCTCAGTTTCTTTATCTATAAAATGGGAGGATTGGATTAAGTGGCCTCTGAAGGCCCCTCCAGCTTTAGATGTGTGATTCTGGAATCCTAATTATAGCTATACCAGAGATGTCCCTCACTTTAAAAGAATAATCATAATAATAAAATAAGATATTTGCTCAAGGATGTGATTCTCCTAATACTTTATCTTCCCTGTCCAGGCAGTCAACATCTGTATCATATATTGATCAGAAGTTACTGAGCACCCAGCTAATGCCCTGCAATATGTCAGGTGCTATAGGAGATGGAAAATCAGCATTACTTTCCTTCCAGGATCTGAGGTACAGGTGGAAAGGTCTGGAAGTCATAAGGTTAAGACGTGAGTTCTAGCTCTAGTCCTTGTTAGTTTTGTGACCTGGAAAAATTATTTAATCTCTTTGGAGCTTGATTTCCTTCATTTGTAAAATAGGGCTAATCATAATAGTTATGCAGTACTGTAAGGTTTACAAAGAGCTTCTTTTTTTTTTTTTTGTCAGGGTTAAGTGACTTACCCAGGGTCACACAACTAGTAAGTGTCGAATGTCTGAGACTGGATTTGAACTCAGGTCCCCCTGACTCCAGGG